ACCAAGATGGCGGCCCATCGAACTCAACGATCGACATCTACGATCTCACGGAAAAATAGGGGACTGTGAATAGTCTATTTCATGGCAAAAAAGTAAGCCAAATCTGGACCAGCCACTCGGACAGTATATTCGAACGTACGTCTATATAGTCTGAAATACTCTTTCCACGCACCATTTTTGAACGAAATTTCCGTGCAAAAGGGTTTTAAACCAGAATTGGTGAGCGAATTCATTAAAAGCGCTTCCTCTCTCGGCGATTTGGTTGATAATGGTCGACTTTCACTGAAAAAATGATGCCAATCGGCCATTGTCCGAAATTTGTCCTATCCGTTCTTACGGCGACAGCCTCTTAGGGTGGCTCAATAGAGTATTTAAGAACATCCTCCCTATTGAGCGCGTTTAGAAAAGGAAACTTAGTTATAGAGTAAAAAATTTGTGCGCCGCACAGAGCTCCACGAATTTGCCAAATATTGATCGTAAACAAAGATTACAATTAAGTTTTGAATTCATGCTGAGTTAACGTCAAAACATGACACGACAGTCATACTGAACAAAAATCTTACGCAACGAATTACATGTATTTGACATGTATATATTTTAATTAACGTATTTTAATGTAATAGTATACACGACCCCACAAGCTTTGTAGCTTTGATTCTTATCGTGTTGAAATAGAAGTTTTATGTTTTGTGTTTATGTTATGATCGACGAGTTAAATTTTAAATCGAGTTTAAATGCTTTCAGTTCGCATTAAGAGCTAGTAGGTCGGATTCAAGCGTTCGTGACATTTCCCCTACGTGCACCTGTAACCAATATTCATGAACCGCAAACGCTTGGAAATAAAATAACCACCGCTNTTTGAATTCATGCTGAGTTAACGTCAAAACATGACACGACAGTCATACTGAACAAAAATCTTACGCAACGAATTACATGTATTTGACATGTATATATTTTAATTAACGTATTTTAATGTAATAGTATACACGACCCCACAAGCTTTGTAGCTTTGATTCTTATCGTGTTGAAATAGAAGTTTTATGTTTTGTGTTTATGTTATGATCGACGAGTTAAATTTTAAATCGAGTTTAAATGCTTTCAGTTCGCATTAAGAGCTAGTAGGTCGGATTCAAGCGTTCGTGACATTTCCCCTACGTGCACCTGTAACCAATATTCATGAACCGCAAACGCTTGGAAATAAAATAACCACCGCTACAGGTCAAATTGTGGATTTAAAATGAGATTTTCCTCGGTTTAGCCGTTGTTTCGAGAAAAATCTACCTTCATTCGGCTGACCTGTAGAGGTGGTTATTTTATTTCCAAGCGTTTGCGGTTCATGAATATTTGTTACAGGTGCGACCGTTGTAATCTTTGTTTACGATCAATATTTGGCAAGTTCGTGGAGCTCTGTACGGCGCACAGTGGAGAGTGCCCACAAATTTTATTCTATACAGTTTTACAGTGATGTTAGCAATTTTGAGTTATCATAGACTCGATCCTAGATCAGGTCCCACATTTGAGAAAATAGCTTTTAACTATAGGTATGTCAAGCTTCGCACATTCCGGAGTTCGGCAGGAAGTATTTTAAAAAAATCATAACTCCGTCAAACTTCGACAGAATATAATTGTTAAACCTTTAAAATATCCGAAGAAAGGTGAAACTTTTGCATGTAAAACAATCAGCCTGCTGGAATAAAAAAACTGTGTTTTGGCAGCGTCCGACATTTCTAGCTAAATTTCAGAGTCTCCCAAGTCAAATTAGCCGGTTTTCAGGTCACCTTGAAAACCGTCTCGCAAAAAAGCGAAATAATCCAAATAAATGTGATATTTGTACGTTGGATAAAATGGTTGACTTTC